AAGAAAACTGCTAGGAGTAATACCAGAAACTGCAAGAACCTTTGTGCATGTGGCCCAGTGAAGAGCCTTAGATAGGATGCTTGCAAGGCAAGGCCCTGCCCATCACCCTGCATATGGATGGCTTGAGTCATCATTTGTTGCTGTTTCCCTTCTTTGCATTGACTCACAGGGGGAAGAAAAAACATTTTGGTTTAAGTGGTGCATATGCCTGGATTTGACCTTGAGTTAGCTTTATGACCTTGAACAAATTCTTTCCCTTTGCTGAACCTTGAATTCTCTCTCTCTTTCTCTCTCTCTCTCTCCCTCTCTGTCTCTCTCTCTTTCTTCCTCCCCTTTGCCATTCTTCCTACCCTCCCTCCACCCCTCCATCTTGAGACAGGATCTCCCTGTAGCCCCAAGTGGCCTAGAACTTACTATGTAGAACAGGCTGGCCTAGATCTCACAGAGATCCACCTGCCTCCGCTTCCTGAGTTTTGGGATTAAGGGAGTGCACCACCATACCCAGTCCGGGTCTTGGATTCTTTCTTTATCTATGAAGGGATAATAATTCTTACCTTTCAATTGTACTCAGATAAAACATGAGAGGGATACTTGCTCAGAGTTCATTAAGACTTCTCCTTTGTATTTCTGATATTCTGCTCTGGCCTCTGATGTTTGTAAAACACCAAGGGCCTTGGGTCTTGCTGCTCCTTAGCAAATACCTTGCAACACTGAATTTCTGTACTTTTGACCATATGGGTCTGTCTGAGACATTCTACGTGCCCTACTTCCTTGCCTGATTAGCACCTGGAACCCTACAGTGTGATACAGTTAGAACTTTACACATGAAGAAACAGTTTCAGAGAGCTTAACTAACTTGCTTCAAATTGCATAGCTAGTAAATGACAGAGATGTGGATTAACAGTTTGGACTTTCCCCACTGGATCACGTGGCATTCTATAAGAGGGGTTAAAATTTGAGAAAAGAAAGAGTCTGGTATCCTTGATGGCTCTGAGCATGTTTCCAGCTACCGTGGTCTTCAACACACACACACACACACACACACACACACACACACACACACACAAACACATACACACATGAGTATACATGTGAGAAGTTTTCTGACTTCCCCAGTGACCCAGTGAGAGGCCCTGCTCCTCTTTGCCCAGGTCTATGGAATTGTCACCTGCATTGTGAGACCCATGTTGATCACACAATTCATTTGGAGTCTTCATGCACCAGGTGACTCCTCTAGGCCATGTGATGGTCAACCACGAGTGTGGGAAGGTTGCTTGGCCAGGCAGGAGGTGATGCCACTGGTATGGCCTGTGAACTTCAAAGATGCCCCAATCATACTCAGAGGTTTGTATCCAAGTGCAGATGATCAGCCAAAGGAGAAGCTAAAAATATTTTTTCCTCTTAGAGTAAGTATGAAATTGAGAGTTTGTAATGGGCCCTGTCCTGCCATGCCTTCTTTGTGAATTATACTCTATACTCTCTCTCTTTCTCTCTCTCTTTCTCCCTCTCTCTCCCCCCTCTCTCTCCGTTTTTCTCTTTGTCATTCTCATGTGTGTGTATGCACACGTGTATGATTGTGCACACACACAGACACACAGACACACACACATTCACATACATCACACTGTAATCTTGCCCTATCTAAAATGTAAGAGGAAGGAGTGTCACAGAAGCTAGGACTGAATTTGAGGTGTAGTTATGTTCAGAGAATGTGAGGCTTGTGGTGAATCTCTTGGGGCCACAGTTTCTTCTCCAATAATGTGGGCTGGTAGAACTCTCAGAGTGAATGGGATAAAAGCTAGTTTTCAGTTGCCTATCTCAGTATCTGGCATGCTGGTATTCAATAAATGGTACTTCACGATAATGCAATAATTTTTCTAAGGCAATAGGAACATGCTTAGTGGTTAACTGTCACTGAGTGTGAACTATATAAACATTTATGAAGCCTCAAATAATTCTTATAGCACAGGTCTTATACATATATGCAAGGCCAAAGTTATCATACGTGTTGTTCAGTCTCTGGCTGAAGACATGAAGTCGTACACATCTCCAGTTGATTTTTTTCCTTTGGGGAAGACATCAGTCTGTCTTTGCTCTTCCCCAGGTACCTCACTGTCTTGGTGCTATGATTACAAGCAGCTTTTCTTCACTGTCTCGGGTTTCCCTGTGGAGGCTCTTGCGTTTCCTCCTTTCCATCTGGTGGTTTCAACTGATGCACATCCACATTCTCTCTGCCCTAGCACCTGTCAACTCCTGCAACAAAGCCTGACCTCACAGACCGTCAGGAAAACCAGGTCCAAGCTCAGTTCCAAAAAACCCATCTGTTGAGAAGAATGGGTGGTTTTGACTTTCATCTTATGTCTCCTCCAGGACCCAAGTGCTCCAGTAGTTCATATTTAAGTTGTGGAATCCCTCGGCTTCTCTTCCACTCATTTTTCTTTAGCAACTTGCATGGGAAATGGACCCCACAGGTCTCTCCCAGCTATGCTACCTAAGGACACAAGGCGAGGAACACAAACTTGAACTTGTTTGGGAGGTCTTAGAGGTACCATGAATGGCAGGGTTACATGGGCCAACTGGAGATTCCATTCTGTGCTCAAAGACATCATATCCAAAAATTAAAACAAATCAATGAACCAATCAACCAGTGGTCTCTGTCGCAGACAATTGGCTTAGGTTTATCTAAGGGCTAGCTTGATATAACCTTGTTCTAAGGGTTTTCAGTCCCTACAGAGCTCTGATTGTAAATCTAGTCTTGGAAAGGTTGTTTTAGCCTATCCTATAAGACAATTCTTGTTGCCTTTTTAGCATTTCTCAGAAGGGCCAGCTGGTTCTTCTGGCACGTTTTAGCAAGGAGTGAAGGACCAGGTGTGAGGATAAGTGATGATCAAGGCAGGAATGCTCCTTGTTCTTGTGGAGCTTACTGTCTTGTGAGAATGAATTAGCCTAAGGATTCCAGGCTTGTGAGGCTCCCTCCTAAGGCACAGTCCAGTGTTGACCCCTGTGCATCTGTCCATGATACTAGGTGTAGAGCCCCATAGAGCAAAGCCAAACCTTCTCACACCCTCCAACATTTGAAGGTGCCATTCAGTCCTTTCCTGAGGAACTTTCCCTTGGAGGCTACAGGGTTGCACAGTTGCTTCTGGGCTTTTACTTCTCATCTCTTACATAAGCTCCATTACTGAGTCCTTCAGTTCCACTTCCCACAGATGGAACTCATCTCCTCTCTGTCTCCGCCATTTCCCACGCCTCCCATGGGGCTCTTATCTGAGTTATTTTTGGATCTTTGATCTAGTTTCCGATCTTATGGCCTATAGTTCTGTGTTTTAACCCATGCATCTAATTAATTAGGTTATGCTTAAAATTTTCCCAAGCCACACTGTCCACCTAAAAGTGTTCCAAAGCCTTACTATAGCCCACAAAAGCCTGGTAGATAAGCCCTGGCCAGGTTTCTGTCCACATCACTCAGTACTATACTTTTATCTTTGTAGTGACTGAATGGTGTTCTCATCAAATTCATGTTGATTTGGAACATCAGATTGTATTTGGAAGTGGTATCTTTATAGACATAGTGAACTAAAAATGAGATCATACTGGTATAAGGTGAACCCTAGTTTGAATGGATAGTGTCATAAAAAAGGCCACATGAGGATTCAGGCACAGATTGGTGACACCTAGAAAGATTGGTGTCACCAGAAGCTGGAAGAGCGTACAGAGTGGGCACAAGCCTCTGAGTACCTTGATTTTACAATTCACAGTCTCCTGCTCTGGGTGGCCCTTAAGGCATGATGCAATAAGAAAGAACAGTTTGTGAGCATCTATTACATGTGAGGCATTGTGCTAAGAATATAGATGCCCTTACACACATATATATGCATGTCACATGTACACACATATATTTGCGTAAACATACATATACACATATAATCATTACTTTAAAATATACGTCGTACACAATTGACCATCTTTGCCACTTAGTTACAATTTAATGGTATTAAGTACATTCACACTTCTGAGAAACTATCATTACTACCCTAGAACTCATTTCATTGTGCGAATCTGAGTATCTGTGATACAGTTAACTACCCATTCCACCCTCCCTCCAGCCTTTGCCAATCATAATTCTATCTATGGATCTGACAAGTCCAATGCCACATGTAAATGGAATTATACACAGTATCTGTACTTTTGGCAACTGGTTTATTTCACTTAGCATAAATTTTGTTCATGTTGTAACATGTGCCAGAATGCCCTTTCTTATAGATGAATAACATTTCACTGATGTATATATGACACCTCTTCATTCATGTATCCACATATGGATGTATCCACCTTTTGGTTATTGTAAATAAGGATCCTAAGTGCATGAAATGAACGTCTCTTTGAGGCCTTTCTTTCAAGTCTTTTGGGGAAATACTTAGAAGTGGACTTTTTGGAGATCTCTCTATTGTTGTTCCAATGGAGTATCTATCTATCTATCTATCTATCTATCTATCTATCTATCTATCTATCAACTATTTTTATTTTTAAGTAAACTATTTTTATTTTATATGTATGAGTGTTTTGCCTGAAGGTAAGTACACCTGTGTTGTACAATGCCCATAGATGCCAGAAGAGTGTGTTAGATCCCCCAGAACTGGAATTATGACAGTTGTTAACCACCACATGGGTGCTGGGAACTGAATCTGGCAGAGTAGCCAGTGCTGCTGACCACTAAGCCATCTCTCCAGCCTCAACATATATACAAAAATACATGCATACACATATATGAATTTGAAATTCAAATTAATGGGGATTTTTATCTCCATGTAATTGATGAATTATTAGAGGCCAGGGGAAGCCATGTGTAAATTTTGTAGAACTGACAGGCTGGACTGCCAGGTACTATGTGGTAGGTATGGTCTTCGTTCTTACCTTTTCAGGAGGATAACTGGATTTTCCCAGAGCTTGCAATTGATGTGATGAGCTGAACACCACCCCCTCTATGGGCCCGGGCTCACCTCATTGTCTCGGTCCTTCTCCAGGAAATGACGGGCCACGTGGCTGGGCAAGATATTGCGCAGCATGTTTTCATTGTGTTCTCTAAGTTCCTTCATCTCATTGATCTCCTCTTTGGCCTGTACTCGCCACAGGAAGTCCAGGCGGGCTGTGTACTCCAGCTGCAGTTCACAAGAGACAAAGCGAAGTGGCAGGTGAACCTCTGGGGCCCAGAAATAGGTGTATACCTCTGGAAGGTGGTGGGGAAATTTCCTCTGGGACTCTACACAAGTGGAGGCATATACCTGAAGCCAGGTGATCAGCCAGCGTATGATTAGAGCTTGCAGGCCTACACACCTGCCCTTTGGGAACTATTTGCACCCATGCTTGTGTTCTCCAGTGTAGGAGTACCTGACGGCCTGTGCTCTCTACTGGACTGTAGGTGGTATGTACTCCTCATGCTTTTCATCTGTGTGATATATTCTTACTCTCATAGACCGAATGTGTATCATGCCTCCAGTAGTTCATATCTTGAACCTTAACTCTTGATGCCATGCATTTGGTAATGGGAACTTTGAAAGTTAATTAGGGTTCAAGGAGACCTTGAGAGCAGAATCCTTGTGATGAGATTCCTGCTCTCCCTTGAAGAAACACCAATGAACAAATGACCTTGCTTTTCCTCTCTCCATGTGTCACTGGATAAAAGCCAGGTGAGACATAGCAAGGTAGTTCTCTGAAAGCCAGAATGTGATCCTTCATCAGCTACCAGCCCTGTTGTATCTCAATAGTAAGCTTTCCAGCCCCCAGAACTGTGAATAAATAAATTTCTGCATGTGAGCCACTCTGACTAAGGCGTTTTGTGAAGGCAGCCTCAGCCTATGACATTTACCATGAGGACTATGTCTGACATATGACAGATACTTGACAGTATTTGTTACCACAACAAATAAGAATAATAAAAATGAATAACACTTAGATGTTAGTTACTGTGTGCCAGGTGTTGTTTTAGGCCAATCCTTTAATCAAGCAGCAGCTCAAACTGGAAGCCATCACTTTCAATCTTTTTCTCACAGGTGAGGAAATCAAAGCAAACATGCTTAAATCACTCGATTAAGGTGATCACACAAACTTAAGGATGAAGCCAGGATCTGAGCTTAATTTCCCAACTTGAAAGTCTGAACTCTTGACCACCAGGCAATAAGGAAAAACGAACGGAGGAATATTACAGAAATACTGGGTTTTATGTCAGACAGATATACCTTAGAGCTTTTGGCTATAAACAGACATTGTCACATGGGACTAGCAGTGACTTCATCTCAGTTTCCTCCTCTGAATTTGTGATGAACACAACTGACCACATCGGGTAGAACAAACGTAGTTAGGGGACCACGCTCAACACATAGAACTGCTCTCTTCCTGTGTGGCTTGCTCCTCCTAGCTTCCCTCGTTTTGGAGGTAGGCAGCTTCCTTTCCAGGGCTCCTCACAAAGCATCTTTGTCACAGACTTATCATTATTTCAAAGTCGTTAACAAGCCACACAAACAACATGCTGCACCATTGAACACATGGTAGCATGTTCTGAATTCAAAGGCTAAAAACATTCGGTGAGTTTCTTCGTCTTATTTTCAAGTCTCAGTGGAGAGCAAAAATATGAACAGACACAGGCACAAGGTTATTCATTCATCAGCGTTTGTAACAGCAAAAGCTGGGAAGAATCCAAGTGTTCATTTTGTTGTCTGAACAAACTATAGAAATATACACAATGGAACATCATGCAGCTATGAAAAGAAATGAAGATTTCTCTATGCTTTGATGGGTAGTCTCCAAGGGAAAGAACATAGATACTGTTACTTCATATATCACCTACTGAAGAGTGTATACACACACACACACACACACACACACACACACACACATACACACACACCTTTACTTACACAAGTCCTAATTTATTTGTTAAAACTAGATAATGTACCATAAACAGTGATTATGTAGGAGATGAAGAAAGAAAGGATTAGAGAATTGGATGGAGTATTAGAAATAGCATCTAAAGTTCTTTAATTTGATCTTTTTTGTGTGCATAAACCTTACTTTGGAATCGTGGAAATGTTTTACTTAATTACAAAATTAAATAGGTTGAAAATTTTTCTTTAACAACAGAGAAATAGGCAAATGAAATTCCTTGTCTGTCTACCCAGAGAGGAAATATATCAAATGCCTTTTGAAACAATAGTTAATTTATTTTCTTTAAAATTATTAACTCATACTAGTTGTGTAGATGGATTTCCTTTGGTACGACATGGTTATTGCAAATAGCTTGAACATTATTATTTTTAAGCATTTTATTTATTGTTTTCATTTTGTGTATGAGTATAACGCCTGAATGTAGGTAGGTGCACCCGTGTCATGCACTGCCCTCAGAGGTCAGAAGAGGATGTTGGATCCCCTGGAACTGGAGTTACAGATGGTTGTTAGTTGCCATTTGGGTGCTGGGAATCAAACCTAGGTCCTCTGCAAGAGCAGTCAGTGCCATCTCTCCAGCCCCTTAAACATTATTTTTATCCTTAGGATATCTGATGACACATTCCTAAGAGGGAAACACCCTAAGGATAAACAGAAACTTTAAGGGCTTGTTAAAGCTGCATCTAATGCCTGGAAAGTACTTGGAAAGAACGTTGAAGCTGTTTCCAGTATGGCTCAGTGCGTGGAAAAGTGCTTGCCATGCAAGTGTTAGGACCTGAGTTTGAATCCCCAGGACCTGTATAAAACCTGGATGTGCTGCCTGAGCATCTGTAATTCCAGCATCCATACAGGGATGCTCACAGGCTGGGGATCCTGGCACATGCAGCTGCAGCAGCAGAACACCCAAGAGAGACCCTGTCTCAAACAGGGTGGAAGGCAAGGACCAACATTCAAAGCTGTCCTCTGGCCTCCACATGTGTTTGCACTACTGTATTCACACACATGAATGTACACACGCACACACACACACACACACACAGAAATCTGCTTATGATAATCATATTGTAGATATATATTAATTATTACAACTAATTTTATTATTACTATTCTTATTAATCTTAGACTATTATATGTGAATTGTATGATGAAGCAAATGAGAAAGCACAATATTGTCACTGAAAACAGGGATTTTGGGGGAGGAAAAAAGGATCTATGGGCACAAGAGTTAGGAGGCTATAAGAACCAGTGGTGAGGATGGGTGGTGGCACACACCTCTCATCCCAGCACTTGGGAGATGGGGGCAGGAGGGCCAGGAGTTCAAGGCCATCTTCTGCTACATACTGAGTTGGAGACCAACTTGGGCTACATGAAATGCTGTCGTAAAAAGCCTGTGGTTCTGAACAAGAAACAGAAGCATTGCTGTGAAGTCGGGGTATGTGTTTCCAGCTCCACTCTCTGAAATAGAAGCCAGGGAACAATGAAAATCTGATCTCAATGTGTACTTCCAATTTGTAGGTTGCAGCTTCCAAACATGAGTTCCTATAAAAAAATCTCTACTCTTGTTAGAAATCTATGAAGTTTAGGACAGAAAATTCATAACCCTAATGCATATTTTTATATCATAAACAAGCCTATCAGAAACTAATGGGATATGTCAAAAGGACTTAAAACACAGCTTGAACAGGCTTGCAGTTGTCAAAGATGTGACAAATTGAGATTTCATAAGAATAGCAATTACAATGAATAGACATGGGAAACAAATTAAAATGCATAAGTTCATAGTGATACTCAAGAAACCAAATCCCATCTATTACCTTGGAATAATGCTGAGGAAAGAGACATGTTGGCGAACTTACAGGGACCTTAAAGAGTTCCACATTTGTCTTTGCTTTATGAGTTACACCTGTAGGTGACATACGGTTGGGGAGGGTACGGTTTCCTTTTACGTGTATTCCAGCTGACAAATTGTGTGCATCTGATAAGATTAGGTTGCCACTATAAAACTAATGAATGTAGGTTATTATGAATAGCTGCTAACATAAAACAGAGATGAAGAAACATTATGTACCTCATAACTGTAACTCATAAAGAGACCAATTATATATTTTTGTAGTAAAAACCGAAACTGGCTTTTACTGAGTGTGTGCACAGAACAATCAATAAAGAAATCAAAGAACAAAGGTGTGTTCCGTAACCTTGGAAGGTACAGTTAGCACACTAGACAGAGTGACATTGCCAAAGTCAGATGGCTCTCAGGAACTATTTCAAGATAAAAGGAGATGGAAGGTGATTCTAATGATTTATAAAAGATTTATGGCAATACACAGACTATATTTGGTTCTAAATTTGAATAAGCAAACTTCAAAAGTTCAATTTTAATTAATAAATACCTGCCTGGCAGTTAGTGGATGGCTGGTTTTTTTTAGAGGTGTGTTAATGGCATTGTGGTAAAAGTGCCTTCTTTTTAGAGACATATTTAAATACAAATGAAATTGGAGGATGCATGGAACTTGCTTCAGAATAATTAGAGGGGAGGGATGGTGATCAACAAGATAGAGATACAGATAAAGAAAGGCTGGAAATGAATTGGGGGTCTTTATGAGTTTATTACACTATTTTATTTAATTCTCTGTGTATTTGATGTTTTCTATACAAGAAACAAAAGAAAATCTATGTGTGGAGGAGCAGGTTGTAAAAAGCAATGTTGGTCCTGATCATTCCTCCAAGTCTCTTTGTGGTCTGGGGGAAGTCATTCAACTTGTAAGATTTCCCTCTAACAGCTAGGATAGCTGTCCTGATATGTCTACTTTAAGAGACATGAACTAGCATATGGATCTATAATATAGTTCAATTGGCATGATGTATGCAAGGCACATTGACACATATAAAATGTAGATTTATAAGGCATCCCTATCATTTAAGGCATCGCTGGATGAGGTCAGATCAAACATATGCTTTGAATTTTTTTTCTCTTCCATATTCAAGAACATCAGGTTTTGACTTATCAAAAGAACAATATATTCTTATCCCTATTTCTAAACAAAACTTTTTATCCCTTTTAAAATTGCATACAGAATAAAAATGCTGAAATACAGAATAATTGCTTCCACCTCTCCTGTTAAGTTTTTATTTGATTGAATTCAATTCAGAAACATGAACAGGGGCATCTGGAAGTTTAGACCTAAGCAAATATTTTCTAGTTATTAGACATGAACAGCTT